TGTGTGTGTGTGTGTGTAGACAAAGTCTCATCATGGCGTGTGTGTGTGTGTGTGTGTGTGCTTGTTTTTCTGCCTTTTTGTGTGTGTGTGTGTGTGTGTGTGTGTGTGTGTGTGTAGACAAAGTCTCATCATGGCCTAAGCTAGCCCGGCTTGTTTTTCTGCTGTGTGTGTGTGTGTGTGTGTGTGTGTAGACAAAGTCTCATCATCGTGTGTGTGTGTGTGTGTGTGTGTGTGTGTGTAGACAAAGTCTCATCATCGTGTGTGTGTGTGTGTGTGTGTGTGTGTGTGTGTGTGTAGACAAAGTCTCATCATCGTGTGTGTGTGTGTGTAGACAAAGTCTCATCATGGCGTGTGTGTGTGTGTGTGTGTGTGTAGACAAAGTCTCATCATGGCCTAAGCTAGTCCCCAAATCCCGAGCTCAAGCGATTCTCCCGCCTCGGCGTTCCAAAATGCTCGGATTACAGGCGTTAGCACCGCGGCCGTCCGGTTGTGTATTTAAAAGCCGCCGACACGCAGGCTCTCCCGACCGCCCCGTTTAGTCGCTCCCACCCACACAAGCCCGAGTGCCGGACTTCCCGGCTCGGGGACGAAACACCTCGCAGGGTCTCGAACCACCACAGCCCAGCGCCTGGGGGCGCTCCACTACCCCAGCTTCCGATCTAGAGGCGACTGAGTTCTCGCGCGAAGTCCGCCCGCCGCCGAGGCCTCCGGGAAATGGAGTCCCAGCGCTTCGAAACACCCGGAGCCCGTCGCTGGGTCCTTTTGCCAAGCGCCTCAGCCGGGAACCAAGAACTCCGCTCCAGCTCGGAACCGGATCGTCGGGGAAGTTTCAGGGTCCTCTGCCTAGTTCCCGTGAGACGTCCCTAGGCAACTACGCTTATTTTCCTCCGAGATTGCCTACTCGTTGACGGAACTCACACTTCCCGTGACGTTAAAGCTCTCGCGTGGAGTTGCTTAGAGCCGCACGGCCTTCTGGGAAATGCAGTCCAGGATAGGCCCTGGGCAACATGGCGGAAGCGATCGGGGGAAATTTTTCTGAAGCATCTCGGCGACCTACCTGAGCTCACTTGTGCTTGCCCAGGAAGTGCCGGGAGACTTGGAAGCCTTCGCTTGCTCTCGGAGTGCACAGACTCATCGGGTCGCGGTTTATGCTTTTGTGTAGGGGTGAGTCCGGCCACGGGTTCAAGCATCTTGGAGTGGGGAACGAAGGCCTGGGCGTCTGGGCCACTGGCCTGCCTGCCTCAGGTGACGCACCCGGATTCTGGGATGGGGCTGGAGCTTTCCAGAGATAACACCGAGGGGATTCCGGCGAGTGTGACAGAGTGAGTGCAGCCGCGTGAAGCATCTGATTGTGAGGGCGAGAGTGAGTGCGCGGGGTGGTGGGCACCTGAACGCGCGTGACAGGGATCCACTTCCCTCTTATCCTCCCTCCTGTGACTGTAAGATGGAGAAAGTGAGGCTGCTTATTCCTGGACGTCAGATTACTCAAAAATTTGGGAAAGAAAAAGCTAAATAATTGACCTGATAGCTAATGTAAAACATGATTTCTGGGCAACCCCTTCGGGTCCCCTCCCACTGTGAAAGTTTTTCTGTCCCCTCAATAAATCTTGCTTTCAAAAAAAAACCCACATGATTTCTATATTAAAGATTAAGTTACTATTGCATAGAATACCAAATCAACGTGACTTTTAAATATAGACCGGAAGGGCCGGGAGCAGGATAGCAAAAGTCGTCTTTTCTTATAATGTGTTTGTCTGACTTTGGTATCTGGATAATGCTAATTCACAGAATGACTTGTGAAGCATTCTTGTTCTGAAAGAGTTTTAGAATTGGTATTATTTATTCTTCAAAATTTCTCAGTGAAGCTATCCGGGCCTGGAGTTTTCTTAATGGAAAGATTTTTAACGACAGATTCAATTAAATAGATACAGGGTTACTCAAATTATCGTTTTCTTCTTTTTTTTTTTTTTTTTTTTTTTTTGAGTTGGGGTCTCACTCTGTCACCCAGACTGGAGTGAAGTGGCCGCTCCCGGCCACTGCAGCCTCGCCTGCTGGGCTCCGGCGATCCTTCCGCCTCAGCCTTCCAAGTAGCCGGAATTACAGGCGCACGCTACCACGCCCAGCTGATTTTTTGATTTATTGTAGAGATGAGGTCTCGCTGCCCAGGCGGGTCTCGAACCCGCGGGCTCAGGCAATCCACTCACCTCAGCCTCCCAAAGGCGCGGGATTACAGGCTGAGCCACCGAGCCCGGCTTATCGTTTTCTTCTTAAGTGAGCTTTAGTAATTTGTATCCTTCAAGGAATTTGTTCCTTTTATCCAGTTATAAAAATGCATTGGCATATGTTCTAAATACTTTTTATCTTTTCAATATCTGTAGAATTAGTTACTCTGTCTCTTTTCCTATTTCTGATGGTAACTTGTGTCTTCTCTTTTTTCCATCAATTTCATTGATCTTTGGCTTTTGGACTTTTTTTTTTTCTTAGATTTTTTTTCCCCTACTTCATTGATTTCTGGTCTGATTTTTTATTATTTTCTTCCTTCTAATTACTCTGGGTTTACTCTTTTTTTTTTTTTTCCTGGTTTATTATGATGAAAGCTGAGGTCATACTGCTTTAGTTACAGGTTTTGACATGCTGTGTTTCCATTTGTTTAAATTTAAAATACTGATATAATTTTTCTATCTTTGACTTTTTTTAACCTATGCACTACTGGAAGTATATTATTTAGTTCCCGAATGTTTAGGAAATGTTTCAGATAATTCTGTGTTAATGCTTTCTAATTTAATTCCTTTGTGGCCAGAAAACAAGTTAATGAAACTTGTTTCTATCCTAGAATATGGTGTATCTTGGTAATGTTCTATATATACTTGAATAAAGTATATACTGTTCTTGTGTAGAGTGTTCTATTAACATCAGTTAAGATACATTGACTGTTAGAACTGTTCAAGTGTTCAATATTCTCTCTTATTTTCTGCCTACTTCTAGCAATTATTGAGAAAGGAGTGTTAAAAATCTCTAAATGTACAATCGTCCTTTCATTGTTACCAGTTTTTGTTTAATGAATTTTTTTTTCTTTTTAGAGTAGAGTATCATTCTTTTGCTTAGGCGGGGTACAGCCTTGAACTTTTGGGCTCAAGTGAGCCTCCCACCTCAGCCTCCTGAGGAGCTGGGATTATAGATGTATGCCTGTTTCATGAATTTTGAAACAAACTTTTGATTAGTGTTAGCAAGGCATGTACTTTTTCTTCGTTTTACTTTGATCATATTTGTGTCTTCATGTTTAGATGTCTTTCTGTAGGCAGCACATAGTTAGGTCGTGCTTTTTTAAAAAACCCAGTCAGACAGTCTACCTTTTACTTGGCATATTTGTTTCCTATGGCTGCTATAAAAAATTTCTACCAGTTCTGGGGCCAAAAGTCCAAAAACTTGCACTGGGCCAAAAATCAAGGTGTCAACAGAACCAGGACTGTACTTCCTCTGGAGACTCTAGAGGAGAATATGCTTCATGCCTCTTCCAACCTCGAGTGGCTGCAGATTCCCCGGCTTGTGGCTGCCTCATTCCAGTCTTCAAGGCCAGTATCTTAAGATCTCTCTGCTCAGTCTTCACATGGCCTTTCCTTTGAATGCCTGTCTTATATTTCCCTCTGCCTCCTTACTATAAGGACACTTGTGATAGCATCTAGTGGCTATAAGATGATTCATCATCTTCAGATCCTTAATCATAGCAAAGTCTCTTACCATATGTAATATTTATGGCTCCAGGGACTAAGACTTAATGTCTTTGGGGGCCATTTTTTTCAGCCTAGTACACTTGGGATGTTTAGAACATTGTTCAGTGGATTTACTCATATGACTAGATTGAAATCTACCATCTATTTATTTCCTCTTTGTCCTATCCTCTTCTTTTTCTCCCTTTTTTTTTAAATTAACTGTGATTTTTATGATTATTCAGTTAATCTAGAGTGCTCATATATCCTTTATTGATTTTATTACTTCTCTGTTGTGTTATTAGAATAGTTGCTTTAGAGTTTAAATTAGAGGTTGGCAAAATTCCTCTGTGAAGAACCAGATAGTAAATATTTTAGGGCTAAATTGGCTATAAGGTCTCTATCACAACTACTCAGCTCCAATGTTATAGGGAAAAGCATTCATGGACATTACATAAATGAATTAGCATGACTGTGTTCAAATACAACTTTATTTATAAACCTTAGAATTTAAATTTCAGATAATTTTCATATGTCATAAAATATTATTCTTTTTTGTATACTTTTCCCTCAGATTGAAATGGTGTTCTAAAATTATTTTTAGCTTTTGGGCCAAATATAACAGGCAGCAAGCCATTCTTGGCTCATGGGTCATAGTTAGTTGATCTGTGCCCTAGAGAAGTGAAGAAGAAAATAGCTTTTAAATATATAGTTGACAAGTTAATAGAGCAACTAAAGAGATACACTAAAAAATATTTATTGAAGATAAAGGCAGTCACAGAGGAACAAGACCAAAAAAAGAAAAGAAACATTTTTAAAACAAATGGCAAAATGTCTACTGCAATTCCAATTATATTAATAATTTTATTAAATATGTATGGTCTAGGCATCCTAGTCCAAAGGCAGATTGTCAGACTGGATAAAAAACAAGCTCAAGCTATATGCATATGCTGTCTATAAGATATAAGATACATGTTTTGGACTCAAAGACACAAATAGGGGGAAAGGAAATAGAAAAGAAAATACCATGCAAACAGAAACTATAAAAGTGCTAGAGTAGCTATATTACCATTGAACAAAATGTATGTTTTTTAAACATTTATTATTTATTTTTAAGTTATTTTTATTTTTTGAGTCATCTCACTGTCACAAAAACTGGAGTGCAGTGGCATGCTCATGGCCATTGCAGCCTCAGCCTTCTGGGCTCAGGCGATCCTTCTGCCTCAGCCTTTCAAGCAGCTGGAACAGCAAATGTGCACCACTAGGCCCAGCTAATTTTTTTGATTTCTTGTAGAGACAAGGTCTCACCAAGTTGCCCAGGCTGGTCTCGAACCTCCAGGCTGAGGCAATCCTTTCCCCTCTGCCTCCCAAAATGCTGGGATTACAGGGATAAGCCACTGTGTCTGGCCAAAATAAGATTTAAGATAAGGAATGCTATTAAAGATAATAGAGATATTTTATAATGATAAAAAGGTCACTACATCAAGAGGATATAATAAATGTATATATGCTAAAGTTAAACAAATTTGAGCAATAAAATACAGTAGTATTGTGTTATAACCTAAAGTATAACATAAATATCCATGAGCATCTTATTAATATGAATAAGTGATTGAACAAGATGTAGAACAGACAAATCTCACAGAAGAATGAAAAATTATTTATGTAGATATTCCACCCACAAGGAAGTGGAACAGAACTTCTCATCTCCTAAGAGGGGGGTACGTAAGTGATTTTCTTCTAAAGAATACAGAATGGAAAGGAGGGATAAAGTAAATTGGCAGTGGAGAAAGCTGACAAAGATCTCCTCAACTAGCTAAGCAAGGTTAGCATCAATAGCAATATGTCATATGAATAGATTATCTTTGATAATGATGTGATGAGAATGGCACTATTCCTCTGTGGTCTTTTACCCAAAAACCTATAACCCCTATCTAATTCTGAGGAAAACATTTGACAAATCCAAGCCTAAAGACAATTTATTAATTACCTGATCAGTACTTTTCAAAACTGTCAAGGTCGTCAAAAACCAGGACAGTTTGAGAATCTTTCGCAATATAGAGGAGCTTAAGGAGAGGCCTGCCAACTAAAGGTGATGTTCTTTCCTGGTGGTATCCTGGAATAGAAAAAAGACATTAGGTAAAAACTAGAGAAATGTAAATAAACTATGGACTTTAGTTAATAATAATATATCAATATCAATCAATTAATTAATTTGTTAATTGTGATAAATGTCCCATAATGTTAACAGTAGGGGAAACTGGGTGTAGGATATATAGGAACTCTCTGCAATATTCTTGCAACATCTAAGACTATTCTGAATCAAAAGTTTATTTTTACAAATGTGTATATGACCTTAACTAAATAACCCCATAATAAATGAAGCAAAACAGACAGAATTGAAAGAATAGTTTGATAATTATAGTTGGAGATTTTAATAGCCCACTGTGCATTAGAACAACTAGATAGATAAATGATACAAAAAGCAAACAGCATCACAAGAAAACTATAGACCAATAATTTTCATGAACATAGATGCAAAAATCCTTCATAAAATGGAAGCAATTCAAATCCAGCCACATACAAAATAATCATGTATCATGATCAATTGGGATTTATCCCAGGGATGCAAGATTGGTCCAACATAGCATAATAATTAATGTAATTGTCTTAGTCTTTTTTGTGGTGCTATAACAAAATACCACAACTAGTTTATTCAGAAGAGGAATTTATTTCCTACAGTTCTGGGCATTGAATGTCCAAGATCTTCACATCAGCATTTTGAGTCAGTGCCACAGGTATGCAAAGAATTGCACAGAAATTAGATTAGAAAGAAAAGTTTATTCAGAAAGTAGATTAGAAAAGAGTGTATTCACTTCTCAAGAGAAAGACTGGGCCTGATGCTTGAAGGAAATGTGGCCATGAATGCTTGAGAACTGGGGGTTTTTAAGGCTTTCGTTTAGAGAAGCAGGTACACTTTCTTGAGTAAGATAACACAGGAGCTGTCGCCATGGTGATGGGGTAGTAGTCTGTTTCTCATAACTCTGACGACTAGATAGATAGGGGTGGTCAGTCACACATGGTCAGTCACATAGATGAGAAGGGCCGGACTGGTAGCTGAAAGATTCTTGGGACAAAGAGATGTTCATCTTAACCTCTTGTAACCAAGTAGAATTAAGTCCACCTGGGGGCCAGAAAACTGATTGTTCTTCTATCTAGTTAATGATTATTGCTGTGTATATATTACTGATATAATACATGACTGACTCTGTTCAAGATTGGTGACCAGAAAAATTCCATTTTGGGCTCTCCTTTCACACTGGGAGTTCTGCAGCTTTCATGAAGTCTCTAGAAAAGATAAATATATTAAGGCAGAAAACAAACCAGTAGTTGCTTAGGACCGAGAGTTAGAGTGGGTATTAACTGCAAGTGAGTATGGGAGAACTTTTTGTGCTGATGATGTATTCCATGAGTGGATTGTAAGTGAAGATTGTGCAAGTATGAATTTCCTGAAATTATTGAATTATGTGCTTATAATGAGTGAATTTTATGGTAGGTATATTTTATCTGAATAAAGCTGTTAAAAATGTGTTTCCAATTGAGAAATACCAAGAATGAAGAATAAGCTAATTTATAAAACACCTTATATCACTGTTTAATTTTCTTTTTAATCTATATATAAAAAACTGGTCTAGTAAAAGCATGGATGTAATCTTAGATCTGATGAATCTAAGGATGGTGTTTCTTCTCAAAATCAAGGCAACAGACTACTTTTTGAAGCTTCCCTGATGTGCACAGTCTCAAGTTCTAATTATGTTTTGTCCCTGTTTTGCAAATTGAAAAAAAGAATCATAGAGAAAACAAATATAACTGTAAGCCCAAGGTCATGTAGAGTAATGCCGACCTCAGGGCATATACAGATTCATTGAAGCTCAGTCAGGAAACAATTGCCATAGAGTGTGCCTGTGCATTCTGAGTGAGCACTAGAATTCTCTGAAGCCTTGGAAACACAAGTGTTACATTCCTGGGCCTTCTTCACAAGAAAGCAACAAGCCCCTCTAGACCTGTTTGTCTCTCTCCAAAATTCAAAGTTGAAGACCCAGTCACCAATGTGGCAATTTTAGAAAGTGGAACCTTTGGGAAGTAAGTAGATCATGAGAGCAGAGCCCTCATGAATAGGTTAGTGCCTATATGAAAAAGGCCCCTCTTCCTCTGTGTAAGGACTTAGTATGAAAGCACCATCATGAATGAGGAAGCAAGCCCTCACTAAGCACTAAATCTGTTGGTGCCTTGATGTTGGACTTGTCAGCCTCCAACAATGTGAGAAATAAATTGTTGCTTAGAAGCAGGGGATGAGGTATGGATATGTGGAGTGAGGTTAGGATTAGAGAATAGATTAATATGAGATAGGTTGACGGCATGGGGTAAGGGAAACTCTCAAGGTCATTGATCCACAGGTTGAAAGTAACAACTAATAGTGATTAACCCTGAAACTACAGCTTTGATCTTGGGCTAAAATTTTTAAGCTGGAGGAGATCGCATGTCTTGAAGGGAAGACACCTGAGAGTCACCAGAATTAGGAATTCCCTTGTGGTGGATCCTTGCGTGAGTTGTATGGAGAAAATTACACTTCCTAGGAGCCCTACTCCACTAGGTTGCTGAGACCTCTGAGAAGTTGTAGCACCAGATAGCTTCCACCCTGACTTTTCATCTTGATAGAAAGATAAGTAGAGGATGCTAGGCTTTCTCTAACTTCTATCTGTGTACGCAGGTAGAGGATCTGGCAACAAGTCTTAGTTTATTTTGACAAAGAACTGGTTTCTTCTCATTGCATTCTCCTTCTCCAGTTGTGTGTTTTTCCAGAAGTGCCGTGAGGAGCAGGGAAACCTGACGTGCAGATCTAAAAACCATGTTCAAGGTGAGGTAAACTTTGTTTCTTTATGACTTTGCTTTGTTTTTGTTTCTGAAATGTACTTTCTACTTTGTAATAGTAACCAAGTCTGGCTTGAGATTTGCCATCATGATTTTGTTTTAGGTCATATATCTGCTTGGACCATGAAAGGCGCTATGCTTTTCTTTTTTAATTCAAGTACCTCCTGGGCCATGTGGGGATTTTAATATCTGTGTATATTTGAGATACTTACTTAACTTCCCTACACTTCAATTTCCTCATGTGTAAATTGGAAAAAGTAATAGCACTTACTTGTAGGTTTGTTATAATGATTAAATTGATTCATGTAAAGCCCTTAAAAACATTGGCACATAAAATATATTCAATTTACATAAACTACTATGAGACTATTGTGTACTAAGTTATCTATGGGTCAGGAAAATGAAAATATAAAACTAAATGTGATAGCTATTTATAAAGAAGAAAAGAGCTTGATACTCAAGTAACAAGAGGTTTTGGTTTTTTTTTTGAGTTGGAGTCTCACTCTGTCACCCAGACTGGAGTGCTGTGTCCGCTCCTGGCCACCACAGCCTCGACCTGCTGGGCTCCAGCGATCCTTCCACCTCAGACTTCCAAGTAACTGGAACTACAGGCGCGCACTATCACGCCCGGCTAATTTTTTGTTTTATTGTAGAGATGAGGTCTCATCAAGTTGCCCGGGCGGGTCTCGAACCCGTGGGCTCAGGCAATCCACTCACCTCAGCCTCCCAAGGCGCGAGCGGGATTACAGGCTGAGCCACCGAGCCCGGCTTAACAGGAGTTTTTATCTGCAGGTCATTTACTTCATTGATTAGTTACAAATCACTTGAGCATCTTTTTCCGGTGGAAGAGGTCTATAATTTATTATGACTTGAAAGGTGTACATATATGTCCTAAAAAGATTTAGTTCCACTGCTCTAGAATAAAAGACTCTAATGCCTGGGATAATCATAGATGTGATGTTGGTCAAAATTAGTGTCCCCACAATGGAAATAATGAGAGAAATTGTCCTACATCCCTGTGATAGGATATTCAGTAATTTGCCCAAACTGGTACACAGCAGATCTGGATTGCACACACAGATGTCATCATTTGTGTTCTTCCCTAGTCTGCTTTCTATTTCTCCATTTTGTGACTTTCTAAAAATCCACAGTACATGTCAAAAGTCACATCACAGGCATCTATAAAACAGAGCTGCATATTTAGTTATTGCCTTATACACTCTCAGCAAATTATAGGTCCTTTATAAAACCTCCTCCCTTGCTTAGAAATTCATCATGTGTATTTTTCCTTGTGAGTTAAAAATGTTTGTTAACTTGTTAGTTAACTGTTAATGCTAGCATAGTAATCTTTCATATCTCTGTTCTCTGATGTGTGTGTATATATATACTTTTTTTTTTTTTTTTTTTTTTTTTTTTTGAGCTAGAATCTCACTGTCACCCAGGCTGGGGTGCAGTGGCATGCTCATGGCCACCCCAGCGTCTCCTGCTGGGCTCCGGTGATCCTTCTGCCTCAGACTTCCAAGCAGCTGGAACTACAGGCGCATGCCACCGCGCCCGGTTAATTTTTTAAATTTATTTTATCGTAGAGACAAGGTCTCACCAAATTGCCCGGGCTAGTCTCGAACCCATGGGCTCAGGCAATCTACTTGCCTCATCCTCCCAGAGTGCTGGGATTACAGACTGAGCCACCGAGCCCAGCCTCTGATATATATTCTTGTGTTTACTAGTCTTTGCACTTTTACGGTCTCCCTTGTTGATAACTGCCCAAGTAGGATTTTTATTAGGTCAAACATCAAGCATTTGTTTCTTTTCTTTTCTTTCTTTCTTTTTTTAAGAAATGAGGTCTCACTCTGTTGCCTATGTTGGTCTTGAACTTCTGGGCTCAAGCAGTCCTCTTGCCTCAGCCTCTCAAAGTGCTGGGATTCCAGGCGTAAGCTACTGCACCTGGCCCTAGGCATATTAAAGCCAGGAATATCAGTGACCCTGTACAAATACTTGTGGGAAATTTAGTGATTAGTAAGACCTGGTTTCTATTCTTTTTTTTTTGAGTTGGAGTCTGACTCTGTTGCCCAGACTGGAGTGCAGTAGCCGCTCCCGGCCACTACAGCCTCGACCTGCTGGGCTCCGGCAGTCCTTCCGCCTCAGCCTTCCAAGTAGCTGGAACTACAGGCGTGCGCTACCACGCCCAACTAATTTTTTGATTTATTGTAAAGGTGAGGTCTCTCCAAGTTGTCCAGGCGGGTCTCGAACCCGCGGGCTCAGGTTATCCACTCACCTCATTTCAATATAACAAGAGAGCTACAATCCCTACAGAAACAGATTAAGGTGTGACAGGAACTAAAGAAATACAGATGACATTCCTTGGGGATTCATAGGAAAGTGACAGCATTCTGACCATAGTGACCTCTTATATTTTATGATAAAATCATGCTGAATGCATAGAAACTCTCTGAAGATTCAGGAATTTTGTGTAGTTAACATTAATCCTTGTAGTTTTTCTTTGAATGTGTTTTCTGCCAAGTAAGACTAATAGGGCGAGATGAATCAATAGCTGTGTGGAAGACTTTAAGTCGAAAAGGACTGGTTAAGCTGAGCTCAGTGGCTCAACCTATAATCCCATGCCTTGGGAGGCTGAGGTGAGTGGATTGCCTGAGCCCACGGGTTCAAGACCCGCCTGGGCAACTTGGTGAGACCTCATCTCTACAATAAATCAAAAAATTAATCGG